CATCCTGTTACCAGATAATGTACATTATGTCTTCTTGTCTGCAACAATTCCAAATGCAAGACAGTTTGCTGAATGGATTTCACATTTACATAAACAGGTCAGTAGTTTAAATACACCTGTAGGGACACAAGAAAGGTAGTGCGAAAAATTACATGTACCTAATAGGGTAAATAAAATTTTGTTTCTAGTTTCCCAGTAGTTAGTGGAATTTTTATAAAACCGTTGATCACTCACGTGAGTCAATCTGATTATTTCTGATGGTCGCTAATGAAATCTCAGCCAATTTTCAGCACTGCCAGTAATGTACATTGGGGTTTATGTTACAGGTCAAAATAAAATTCAGGTTAAAATTTTTTTACCATTGTTGATTCTTAATTTCCTTGGTCTCTTAGCCCTAATTCATGAATAATTAGGGCTATATAACTAATATATAACTCGAAGTTCCAACAGTGTCCACTATAAAGGCAGCTGAATGTAATGGCACAGAAGAACTTGTCATAAGTCTCTATTAAGAAATCATTGTGTTTTTAAATTGTCTTGCAGCCATGCCATGTGGTATATACAGATTTTAGACCAACTCCGCTCCAGCATTACATTTATCCTGCTGGTGGTGAAGGACTCTTTCTTGTTCAAGATGAGAAAGTAGGTGACAAACAAATAAATGCAAAAAAGATTATTACAGTTATGTAGACACAACTTATGCAGTTGCAAAAAGAAAGCCTGCAAAATTTTTGGGTTTGCTGGTATTCAAACTCTGACCAGCAGTAAAAAACAGCAAGCTGCAAAAATTACTTGGCCTATGCGACATGCACATGTACTTTACCTGGCCTCCATTAAGTGCAGGGCTGTCATTAGGTTTTTCAGAGGCCATAGCAAATGAAGATTCACCTGTAACATCTTCCTAAACTTATAGTGTCATCTTAATTAGCTTTCCACTTTTATCACCTGTTAGAGTAACATCAAGTGAGCTTAGCCGTAACAGGTGTTATGGGTTACAGCCTTAAATGACAGCCCTGAACGGTACCTTAATGTTCATTTTTGTATTTATTAATAATAATAATTATTATATTGTAATTATAGCTAATTGTTTTATTTTTTAGGGAGAGTTTCGTGAAGAAAATTTTCAGAAAGCCATGGCCGTAATAAGGGAAGGAGGCACTGATCCAGGTTCACAAAGAGGTCGGAAAGGAGGAACTAAAGGTATGCAGTTATTAATATTACTAATCCAGTTTATGATTTGGGCATGATTTGGGAAAATTCTGGGCTTTGTCACTGTTGTACATGTAGTTTTTGTCCCACGTTGGTGGTTCCATCTCAGCACAACTGGCAAGGACAGGACTCTGTAAAGTGGCAAAGAGGCTGTTGGAGCTGAGAACTACAGTAGAGTGTAACCGTGACAACCCTGAGAGTTGCATCCACTAAGGCATTGCTGTGAATTTGTTTCCTTTGCACCCTGCGTCCCTGACGCATAAAAATCTCCAAAGACACAAAGTCATTCATGGCATGCGTCCCATAGGCCGCAAAGAATGATGAATCAATTTATAGATTTTTTTGGTGGAATATCCTGTTCGTTTGATTAATTGTTTTTTTCAGTGAACTGTACTAATAAAGAGTTTTTGCCTCTGTCTCCAGATTTACTATCAGTCTGGTTACATAAAGGCCAAAGCATTTTCAGTTTAGAACTCCTTATTTTTTAACTGGGACCTATTGGTTATGGACAGGGACTCATGATTTTTTGCAAAATGAGTCCCAGGACTCACCATAACTATTTGTAATGGAATCACTGCACTGTTGCCCTCCAAACCAGTGGAAACTTGACCTACTTACATGTGTACTGTATATCTACCAAAGGGTTGGGAGGAAGCAATCATTAAGAAGCATGAGGAATGTAAAGTTAAAATAAACCTCCATTGACTATTGTCGCCATTTTGTCAGAATGAGTCAATTACCTTCCAGGAGTGTGATGCCTGGCCTTAATAGTAAGAGGAATCATAAATTCCCAATTCAAAGGCACATGTGAAGCTGTTTAACCACCCCAGTTGATCCCAAACAAATAACTGCTGGCCTACATTGTTTTGAGTTGAACTAACAGTGTGGCATATGGTAAATTTCATGTAGCCATGTGAAGTCACCTGTTTCATAACTGTTAAATCTGGTTGCAGGTCCCTCAAACTGTTTCAGAATCGTGAAAATGATTATGGAGAGGAATTTCCAGCCTGTCATTATATTCAGCTTCAGCAAGAAAGAATGCGAAGCCTATGCTCTGCAGATGTCAAAACTGGACTTTAATTCAGGTCAGAAACCAATATCAAAGATCAGCATCTCATTTCTCCTTTTAATATCACCAGTGAATATAAAAAATGAATATTTAACAATAAATTATTCCTTAAGCCTGAATGGACTATTGACTCAGAGGCCTTGAGGCAAGAGGAATAATTGTTAGTAAAATCCATCTAGTTGGTCAAAAATACTGAGAGTAAAAAAAAATTTAGCTGGTTAAAGCTAGACTGTAATCCTTTTTTGCCGCCAAAAAGCCTGCGCTTTTTGCTACTAGGGGGCTATAACATAATTTATAGCCTAGTAGTAGCTCAACCAATCAGAATGCTGCATTGATAATAGACCACTAGTTGGATTTTATTAAAAACTGAATATAGAAGTTGAGAGTCAGAATGAAGGAAACCATCAAGAAAGAATAGATGTAAAAAATTTTAGTTACTTTGATAAGCACCTGGGGCAGTGGTTTTGCTTTTGTGTAAATTAAATGGTTTGAGCCTAAATTGTAGGGGTTGTTTTATTAATTTTTTGAAGTAATATTTATTATTGGCTCTCAGCCCTTAGCTTACGTGTTAAATAATTTATTGGTATTTTATTTGTGGTGACTTCAAATCTTATTCTTTTTTCCTCATTGTTGATATTTTAGCTCAAGAAAAGAAATTAGTTGAGGAAGTATTCAACAATGCTATTGATTGTTTGTCAGATGAAGATAAATCACTTCCTCAGGTTAGAATTATTGGATTATTTTCCATAATATTAACTTAGCTGAATGTTTCCACCAGCATACAGGAAAGTCATTAGAGAGCTGAAGAGGTCTAATAATTTAAGTGGTCTCGTTTTAGGATTTCATTCAGATTAAAAGTTAGAACTTCCTTTATTTGACAAATTGGGGGAGGGTCTGGTGGGATCTGCCCTCCCCCCTCCCCCCACAAAAAAGAGAAAGAACTCATAGTTGGAGAATTAAGCACATGTAATTGTTTATTTTAGTAAGTGTTACAAAACTGAAACTGTTGTCACTGAAGAATTGCATATACAATGTTTTGTGGCTTACTGTGGATTTAAGATTTAAGAAGCAAACAAAGTAGAATTTTACCAGAAACCACATTCATTTATGTGTAAGTAATGCAATATTCCATTTTATTAATTTTAGGTGGAACATGTCCTGCCACTGTTGAAACGTGGCATTGGTATCCATCATTCTGGGCTGCTGCCTATTTTGAAAGAGACAATTGAAATTCTCTTTTCAGAAGGTTTAATCAAGGTTGGTCAGATTGATTTGCATTCTATATTAATATAGTGATAACCTCTGACAATGATCCATAACTAGCATTCAGAGAGCTGATGCTGGTCAGTTTCATTGGTTAAATAAAGATAAACTGTTTTACAGTTCAATTCAATTTAGATAAATCTGATTGGTTGAGAGCAACGTAAAATTCCGAAAATAAGCCCCAGGGCTTATATTTTTCAAAGGCCCTTTTTGAGGGGCTTATTTTTGGAGGGGCTTATCTATGGAGGGAAATATGTGTCTCAAAATCGATTGGGCTAGCCTTATAGTTGGAGGTAAATTTACCGTTTTTGCTTTGTTTTACTTAGTATTTGCGGGCAATTTTCCAAGTACAAGCTCCAGGGGGGCTTATATTTGGAGGGACGATTTAACGGAGGGTTTTTTGCGTTACCGGTTTGGGGGGCTTATATTTGGAGGGGCTTATACATGGAGGGGCTTATTTTCGGAATTTTACGGTATGTTCAATAAGAGTATAGACCATGAAAATATTACTTAATTTGTTTTCTCTTCATCATGCGCACAATTTTCTGAGAAACTTCACTGTAAATGGATGTCATTAACTGACGTTATTGTAGAAAACAATTCAACGACAATTTTGCATGGTTTAACTCTTATCGACCGTAGACATGACATCAAATTGTTCAAAACTTTGCAGTGAAACCACTCGCCTGTGGTTCTTGGTTCCACTTGAGTTTTGAACATGTTGACATCACCTCTATGGTCGATAAGAGTACAGACCATAGAAAATTGTTGTTGATTAGTTGTTTAGACACAAATCCTTACTGTTCTACACCTTTCCATTTCCAGACCAAGAAAAAAAAAACATTTTCAGTTGTTGTTAATCGATGTACAAGTCATGACATGATTATTTCAGGTTTTTTATTAACAAAAATATTATTTGTTTTTTCTTCTTTCAGGCCTTGTTTGCTACAGAAACATTCGCTCTGGGTCTTAACATGCCTGCAAGGACTGTTGTGTTTACAAATGCTCGGAAGTTTGATGGAAAAGATTTCAGATTTGTTAGTACCATCAATTTAACAATTTTGTATGGTCATTGTCATTGTTTTTATCATAATAATTAATATCCAAATTAATGGTGGGTACTTGTAAGAGACTTTTTATGTGCTGTAGTGCAGTTTCCATTTTCAGTGAAGTCTTTATAGTGACTTGTGGGAGTGTTTCCTAGTGGCTCTCTGCTCTCAACTTTGGGTTTAACATGCCTACAAAGACCAGTTGTGTAAACAATAATTGCGCAGAATTTTTTTGAGTGTCCCATGACTGGGTGTGATCATTTTATTGCAGTCTTTGGCTGTAGAGGTCTTGGCCTAAGGCCAACCCTGAAGTATCCTGCCTCACACAAGATTAAACCTCTCTCCCACAAGGTGGATCTGGACTTTACATGCTCTTTGCTCTTGCTCTTTACATGTAGATAACATCTGGTGAATACATTCAGATGAGTGGCAGAGCAGGAAGACGTGGTATTGATGACAGAGGGATTGTTATCCTTATAGTGGATGAGAAGATGGGACCGGATGTTGGAAAAGGACTCTTAAAGGTATCAGATGCATACAGAATGCTGGTTAGCAAAATTAATTTTGAGATACTCAACAAGTCGTGGAGTGCACATCTCACATCATGTGAGAATTTGAAGTTGTTCTTTTTAACTTTTTTTAGGATTTTGGTCATCTTTTTAATGCACACTACAAGAATCATGTGTCAAGTCTTGGGACTGAATAGTAGTTTACGTTTTAGAGTTATTGAATGTACCAATCATGAATACAGTCAACAGGCAAAGGTTAAAATGAGTTGTTGCTTTTAAGCTTGATCTGTAATCCTCTAAAGCTAATCATCATAGGTTTTCAGAGGCAAGGTTTAAGTTTCAGCAAAAAAAGAACTTCCTTTTAACTTTAATAAGCACTTTTTTCCATATGTCTTATGTAGACATGAACATCTTGATATGACTGAGCTAATTTGTGTGGGAAAAAAGGTGATGATTCTGTGTAGCTGTTGTAGTGGTACAAAATGTTCCCAGCAGACTGCTATTTAGTAAAATCTCTTGCAATACTCTTGAAATCTTTTATCAGACAGTTGCAAAAATAAAATGAGATTGTAATAACCATGTAAAATTAATATTGTAGTTAATTTTTTATCTGAGGTAATTTATATTTTTCCTTTGTTTCACCTTCATCAGCATACATTACCATACTCAAAAACAAAACAAAAACAAAAATTACCTGAGACAAAAAAATTAACTACAACATAAATACTGAAATGGGAGATGAAGGTTCTTTTATTAATCTTCTTTGTTCCCTGACCCAGGGCCAAGCAGATCCTCTTAACAGTGCCTTCCATCTGACATATAACATGGTGCTGAATCTGCTACGTGTGGAGGAAGTTAATCCAGAGATCATGCTGGAAAAATCTTTTTACCAGTTTCAAAACTACGCTTCAGTTCCAGGCATGATTGACAGTAAGTGTGTTCAACTGTTTTGAAGATTTTTGAATGGTGGACTTCTTGATTTTAATTTTTTATAAATTGTGTTGAGAGGACAGTATAATAATTGTAGTTTATTTTGGTTCAGTAACTTCTTTCCAATGTATTCTTTACTTTCCAGAATGTAACTATAAAGACCTCAGCCGGGGGTTAAGCCCTTGGGCCATATTCCACCTACATCTTACAAAGCACTTGTATTTAAAGCTAAGCTCATGATACAACACTTGTTACATCATATCCTAAGGAGTTAGATTACAGAATATCACAATAATTTTAAAGACTCTGGATAACACTGAACTTTATCTTTAAAATTAATCTCTTTCAAGTTAGATCACAGTCAAGTTTTATGAGCACAGCTTATAATGTTAGGAGCATCTATTTCAAAAGAAAAAGTAAAAAGCTTAACAGTGCCACGTTTATTTGTCATCTTCAGTTTGTTACTTTTACTTCAGTCCTGTGATTGATAAAACACAGCTGATTTGCTACGCAGTAATACCGTTGTGATTTTTAATACTAATTTCTCTTTTTAACAGTACAGTTGCGACTAAAGAAAACTTGCACTTGAAAAACAATTCAAAACTGACAACAATGAGTGTGTCGAACGAGAATGAAAATTAATCTTTAATGAATTTGTTAAATGTGCAATGACTTACATGTAACTGGAATACAACTTAAAAAACTGTCTTTTTGTTTTGATTGACATTAAAACTGAACGTTTGACATGATCATCCATTGCGCAAAAAGTATGTGTTTTGTTCGTAGCATATGCATGTGTCAGCGGTGTTTATTACAAAACAGAAGAGTCTGGGATGGGTAAAACATCGAAACGAAAAAGAACATTAGAGATCCTAGAATCCATTGGGAGAAAAGACCAATTAAACATACACCGTCTTTCTAGTTCGAGTTCGTAAGTATAGTCGGAAGTAAGTCAGTGGCACTGTGCTCTGGGTTTTACGGCGCACAGGTGCGGATTACACATGAATTTTTAGGCGCACAACCAAAAATCCAGTCGCATATGCGACCAGTTAGTCGCTAACTTTTAGCCCTGTTTAACTACAAAACACTGAATACTGTCGCAAAATACTGAATAACAAATGTCACCATGTACTGCTACCACCACAGGATTTCATCTGTCCTAATCTGAAATTATTTTCCAGAACTAAGAGAACTGGAAGTTAAGAGGGATGCATTTGAGATCCCCAATGAAGAATCCATCACAGCCTACTACAAAATAAGACAACAGCTGAAGAGACTGGGAAATGACATGTTGGTGAGTATCAGATTATGTTGTCAGAAATTTGTAAGGGCCTTGCTAAAAGGGAAATCCGTTTGATTTTTTTCTTTTTTCTTTTTTTTTCAGAGTTTTATTCACCAACCCAAGTTTTGTCTGCCATTTATGCAGCCTGGACGATTAATTCAGGTAAAAATGGTGCAAATTGTTGGAGTGCATGAAGCAAGCGCAGGATACTGTCATGAGTCATGGGATAGTATTCCTATTGATAAACCTGTTCTTTAAAAAAACGTTTAAAAATCTCTAAATCTTTATTATTATACAAGTAAAACCTTCAGTACTTACAGGAACTAAAATGAAATTTAAAAATTAAAAAGTTTCAAAACTTAAAGTACTATCCACATTAATTTGTGTTAATAATACTTGCTTTAATACATCCCATATTATAGGGTAACTACTTTGTTTGGTTACTTAAACGTTTCAAAGATTCTTTCAAGGGGCTGTGTCACGGCAGTCCAGTTCATTTTGTTTAATTTTCCCAATTACTGGCCCTCAATCACTATGGAACTTAAAGTAAGCAAAGAAATTACATGTAAATGACAAAATCGGAAATTCGAGACAAACAAATATGATTGTCTCCTGAGCATTACTTTTTGAAGTTGCAAACAGCAGAGATCAACTTTAACAAACTTTTAGGCTGAACAGTTTTCAAAAACCCTAATTTCAATCCATTTCAATCTGCTTCAGTTTTGCCCATCCGTGGCATCTGTTGTACCTGCTGTGTTATTTTAACCTTCCTTTAATGTTTTAAGTGGTTATTTTTGTGTTTCTCTTAATTTAACTGGCATTTTGTAATTACCTAATTTGGCTGAATTTCGTGACACAGCTCCTTTAACTCTTAACGTGTTCTATAAATCTGCCATTGCCCTGAAAAGCAATTGCTAATAGTTATTAATTCTTTGCATTTTGTTAATTTACAACGCATACAGTTAGTACTCTTTAGTATCATGCATCTTTTTCACTAAATCCTTCTCTTCTAAGATGGTAAATGATGAAAATTTCATATTACATCGCCTTTTCACAGGTTAAAAGTAACAGTGACGACTTTGGCTGGGGTGTGGTACTTAATTTCCAAAAGAAGGCAAATCAAAAGGTAAACAAAAAACTATGTAAATAAGTCAAGAAAAAATTGTCTCTGGGATTGGCGGTCACTTATGAAAGGTGGTTGCTTACAAGAGGTGATCGCACGTGGAAAGTCAACTGTATCATGCAATTAGTGGTCAGGGAATTGAACAGCTAGGAGCACTTTTTGGTTCTGTTTTCCCTTTGTTTTTAGTGAAATTGGCTGGGGGGGGGAAGGGGTGGGGAATAACCTGCCTTTGGCCGTAGTGACAGTCCTTCAAGTAACTGTTACTTCATACTGTTTCTAGGGTTGAAGTTAAAATCATGATGTTAATTTCTTCTCATTTTCAGTTTATTTCAGTATTAATTGTAAACCTGATAAAATATATAGCTGATTTGGGGTGCTGATGATTAAAAAAAGTTTTTAATGTGTGAGGACTTGTTTATAGTGGAAAGTGCACTTAACTTATCCAGGTAGTTTACAAGCACTCCACTCAAATACTTAGAAACAAAAACAGGATTAAAAACCCCAACTGGCAGGAGGCAACCAGTTGGCTATTTACAAGGTGTGGCCGAGCATTTGAGCACAGGATGACCAAGAACAAATCCAGCAGGTCGCCAAAGTGGAACTTGAACTCGGGGCCGCTTGATTGCGAGTCCAAAGCGCTGACCACTCAGCCATTCTGCCTCCTTGTATTTAACCCTTTAAGTCCCAATAGTGATCAACAGCAATTTTCTCCTAACGATATCCATACATTATCATGAAATTAGGTTATGAGAATTAATAAAATCATCACCTAAGAGAAAATACTTTGATCTTTTATCAAATTCTCTTAACTAATTCTTAAAGGAAATGTATAGAGATCAGTTTGGAGAATTTGTATGTGGATATTGGGGCTTAAAGGGTTAAACCTTAAGCCTTCTTCAGGTTAGAGTTTCATTATGCTTGTACCATTGTATTTTAAGAGTGGTCCAACCCAAGGAGAGACTCTGTTTGTTGTGGAGGCATTACTGAATTGTTCTAGTAAATCTGTGAAGTCAGCTGATGGAGAGACACCTCAGCCGTGCAGACCTGATGAAAAGGGAGAAATGCAGGTCAGATACTGTCAATCATCATTCACCCATAAACTCACTCACTGTTCATTGACCAAAAACTGGATTTTTCAAAATGCTGCAAAACTAATAGTAGTGCCAAAGAGGTTTCATCTGAATGGTCAACAACTACGACAACAACAACAACATAACTTTATTGTGAGAATTAACTGAATTAATTATACTGACCTGCAGGTAGCAAAGGCTAATCTAGGCAGGAAAGAAGATGAACTGAGGGTTAGGGTTTAACTGTTTTAAATAAGTATTATTACATAGATAAATTTTGAGTTAATATTAATACTTAAAGACAGAGTTAAGGAAAGTATAGCATTAGAGGTTTGAGATAAAAATCAGTTGTAACTTTAAAGACCCAATTAATCATTTAGCCACCGTAGGGTTAAGTCCTCAGACTCAAAAGATACAAGACTGTATCATTCACTCTGGCAGTGAAAAGGTTAAACCAACGTGCCTCAAAAGGTAACTCTCACAGTTCTAGATTTTTATCCTTAAATTATTGGATCAAAAAGGTGTCAAACTGACCGTTCACATGAGCTGTATTTTCCAGTTGTACTGTTTATTGCACTCTATAAGGTTGTTGTAACTTTTGAGACTGTGGCTGAAATCTTACATTATGTATAGTGCGACCGTTCGAATGAAAGCTACTGAGTAGTACTTTCTTGTTGCAGTGTTTATTGCACTGCACAAGGTTGTTCTAACTGTAACACCGTGGATGTAATCCTAAAGTGTGACCATTCCAACAAAAGCTGCCGAGCATTGCTTTCTTGTGGTACTATTTATTATGCTGTACAAGTTGGTTCTGTACTTGTGGTAAGTCTGCAGGTTAAAACGACCCTGGGGTGTGACCACTCAAATGAAAACTGCTTAGAAGTATTATCCTTTGGTGCAGTTACTAATGCCATACGTATATCAAACATTGTTATTTTTTTATCTTTTTTATATATATTCAGGTGGTCCCCATCCTGTTACATCTTGTTAAAGCCATCAGCAGTGTGAGGTTATACATCCCTAAGGATCTGAGATCACTTGACAGTAGGCAGAGTGTCGGCAAGTCTATCAAGGTCAGCACTTATGTGTATGATCAGATTGAAATTTGCAGGAATCAAGTTGTATTGTTGGTATTTTGCGCTATCATACATTCGCCTCATGTTACTCATCCCGATTAGGGAATCCGGGAAATTTTTGCGTGTGTAATCCGGAATGCAGGAAATTATTTCTTGTGGAAGATTTCCAGAATCCAAGTTCCGCTGACAAGGAATCCATAATCCGTTACCTGGAATTCCGAATTCACTGCATGGAATCAAGAATTTGATTACCTTACGTGTAGCGATTATTAATTAATTAATTAATTTATTAATTTATTTATTTATTCAATGCTGACAGGAAGTAAAGCGTCGCTTTCCAGATGGCTTGCCTTTGCTCGATCCAATAGAAGACATGGGGATCAAAGATGATGGATTGAAAACTGTTATACGGGTCTGTATTTGGTCTATAGCATTTGAGCCCGGCTGACTGCCACAGTCGTCATTGATTGCCGGAGTATAGATAAGTTTTGGGTGTGTTATTGGAGGGTGGAAGGGATTTGTAATGTTATGCAACAACAGCGATCGATTGTCATTAAACTGTCGGAGAGCTGTTGGTCACTGATAAAATTTTCACCAATTTGTGATAACCTTGAGAGTTCATACTTACGAAAGTAATCTCTATTCTGTCGGCCGAGTGTCGGTGAACTGTTGGTCGACTGTCTACCGTCAGACGGACGACAGATTTTGGGGAAGCTGTTCTTCAATTTTACCCTGAAGGTGAGGAGGCAGGGTAAAATATGAAACAATTCTCGTTGGTGTAACTTGGCGATTACTGGGAGGGAGGCGGAGAACTCCCAAAATAGAACCTTTGATATTTCATCCATGGTCCTCAAGGACTCACAACAGCGTAGACACGAGAAAAAGGCGACAAGCGTAGAATTTTTAAACTTTTGTCAGCTTTTTCTTATTATATGTTGTTCTGTGTTGTTTTGCCTACAGAAAATAGAGACCTTAGAGCATCGTATGTACACTCATCCCCTACACAAGGATTCCTCATTGGAGTCATTATACAGCTTATGCGAGCAGAAAGCAACAGTAAGTCTTTTTCGTTTGTGTTCGTTATTGTTAATGTATAATATTTTTTACACTTCTAATGGTGCCTTTCTTTTTTCCAATGTCGCTTATAGGGTATTTCTTGTTTGCCAGCAATGTTACTGGAGTACTACTTGTTCACCAACATTGTTCATGGAGCGTTACATGTTGGCTGCTAATGTTATTAGGGTTCCAGTAGTGCTAATGTAGTTTAAACATGTTGGTCAACGATGGTGGTATGGTGCCACGTGTTGGCGAACAGTGTTGGTATTGTGTTACGGGTTGGCAAACAGCGTTGAGATGGGGTTACGTGGCTTGAGAAAACAGGCGACATTTCGCGACGCCACTAATGGTTTCCTCGCAAAATGACGTTTGAGGGTCAAGTGCGGAAATTCCATACTGATGACTACCCAGATCTGAGAAGTGCCTCTGATTGGTTGAGGCAAATTTTCAAATACTGTATATTGATTATGGTGGAGAATTTTTGTGGCTTGTTATTGAATTTCTTTTTACTCTTATTAGATCAATGCTGAAATCAAGACGGTGAAGAAAGAACTTAAAAGAACGAGAACTGTTTTACAGCTGGACGAACTCAAATGCAGGAAGCGAGTCTTAAGAAGGTATTAATTTTATGGAACACGTAATGTAACGTTGTTCTTTTTTCTTGTTATGTTTCAATAAATTCAGTATTTTTGCTTAGACAAGAGCTGAATTGTTGCCTGGCACAGGCTTTAGGGACTTGTCAGAAATTAGCAGGGGGGGAGGGGGAGTGGGTCACAACTTTTTGAGACTGCAGAAAAGGGAGGGGTCATGAAAAATTGGCCGTTAAAAGGGGGAGGGTCATGCAAATATGTGTCCGTGATCATG